GAGGGTCTCGATCCCATTTCAGTCTTCTACTTTAGCAGGCAGTCACCATGTTTGAGTTTAGCATGTACATTCAGGCCTACTTCTGTGGGTTGTAGGTCCAACGACAGTTTAGTTTCCCAAGGCATTGCAATGTTATTTTGGTATGCTCTATTCTTCTGTTGTCCCTGGGGCTCATGCTGTTTTCAGGGGCAGAAGGTGCTTCCCTAAGCTGCTTGTTTTTGCTAGGTGATCTTCTAGGGGATGGGGCTGTGCCTAGGTGTCCTTATGCCACTAGTTGGAGAGTAGGGAGATAGGGATTTTGCCACTGCTACTGCTGTAGGTAAATCAGGCTGCCTGCTGATGTCCTAGTTCCGGAGTGGGAACTGAGACAACTCAGGGCTTTTCTACTGCAGGCAATTTGCATCACCTTCTGGGGTTTTGGTTGTGGAGCAGCTTAGTTCCCCCAACTAGGTCTCTGTTGGTCTTTTCCTTTCCCAGACAGTGGTGTGTGTGTGTGTGTGTGTGTGTGTGGTAGTGGTTTTGGGTTGCAAGCCTCTTTGGCACCCAGTGTAGGGGTGTGTGGGAGATAAAAAGAAACCTAAGACAACTCACCATGTTGTAGTTTCTCAACTCCTGAAGTTCCTACCCAGTCCACCTTCTTTCCTGCTTTTAGAGTCCTTTCATCATTATCTGTTGAGTAACTTCTAGGAAATATAGTTGTATTTGTAGGAGAGGAACAGGGAAAATGATTCTACATCATCTCGTTCTGAAATTAGAAGTCCCTAGTGTAGTTTTAAAATACAATTTTGGTGTGAGTGAATTTGAGAGTTTTTTGATAAGTTTTACAGCCATTTTAATTTCTTTCTCTGTATTTAATTTTATATTATTTGTTGATACTATTTGCTCATTTTTATACTGGGCTGGTGGCCTTTGACATATTGGTTTGTAACAGCTGTTTTCATATTCACTATGAGTTACAAATATTTACCCCAGATTATTCTCTCTTTTGATTTTGCCTTTTTATGGTATTTTTGCCATGCAAGTTTTTGTGTTTTTTTTTTTTTTTAAATGTAGTTGAATATATAAATCTCTTCCATTGCTTCTGTGTTTTGTGTCATTCTTGGAAAGTCCTCCTCATTCCAAGATTTAAAAATAATCTCCCCATATTTTCTTCTAGTACTTTTATGGTTTCATTAAAAATTTTTTTTGGCCCATCTTAAATTTATTTTTGTGTAAAGTGTGAGGTAGTGTATCCAGTTGTCCTAAAGCATTTATTGAATAGCCCATCATTACCTCTCTACTTTAAAATTCTACCTTTAAAAAAAATTGTGGTTAAAAAGCACATAACATAAAATTTACCATCTTGAGCGTTTTAAGTGTATAGCTCAGGAGGGTTAAGTTATTCACATTGTTGTGCAATGGATCTCTAAAATTTATCTTGCAAAGGTGTAACTCTGTACTCAATGAACAACAACTTCCCATTGAAGAGGTAACTTTTCATCATAGAATAGTCTCTGGTCTTTTTTACTTCTTGCTTGAACCACTATAAAAGCTTTGTAGCATCACCATAATTCCAATCTGCTTGATTCATTTTCCTCATGCAAATTCTGACCACAGCATTTCATTATTTAAAACCATGAGAAGCTCTCCTTGATATACTACAATTGAAATTAAGCCCCCTCCCCCCATTATACTCTTTCACAGCACCTGTACCTTTTCTTTGTGTCTCTTCTCATAATGTGTAATTGCAATTATCTGGGTGATATTTGACTTTTGTCTATCTCCTTGTTAAACTTCGGAGTTCATGAGAGAAAGGGCGATGTGCTCATCACATATTTGCACTGCTTAGTGTGTGCCTGGTACATAGTAGGTGCTAAGTCCATGTTTGTGGAATGATAGGTTCCCCTTGGTCTGTGGAATAAAGTAGAAACAATGCAAGATCTGATTTGAACTTAATCTTCTCTCAGCCCTCTGCCCTTCAAGGAAATCAAGCTGCTGGATTTTCTTTCCACCTTTCCCTGACAAAGCCATGAGCTTTCTAATCCTTGGTTCTGGTTTACACCATGCCCTGATTTTTCATTTGTGCCATGCCCTCCCCTCAGTCCCCCGCAACATTGCTGCCTTATGGAAATCCAATTTATCCTTCAAGACTATGGCTGTTTCCACCACTGGACTGTGAGTTCCTTGAGAGCAGAGACAGAGTCTCCCTAATTTGCCCTTAGGGAGCAACACAGCTCCTGGTCTCTAGGAGGCGCTCTTGATCATACATCTTCATCTGCTCCTAGTCTACAATCTCCTTGAGGGCAGGCAGTGTTCCTTACTTGTATGCATCTGGGAACCTTGCTTCCTAGCCCCCAGGGAGAGACTCGGAGTTGGCTTCAGAAATCTTCTGGTAACTTACTGAACATGTCTAGTTGTGTCCTGAGAGGCCTGAATATGAAATGGGGCAGGGGCAGAGGCTTCCCTGCCTTTCCCCCACTGTGCCCTGTGACATTCTGTCCCTCTGGCCCCTTCTCCAGCAATAAAAAATTATTGCTTCACACTCCTCACTCGAGCTCAGCCTGGATTCTTTCTCCCTGGTGTTGATTCCCTGCCTCCCTCTCCCTCCAAGCCCTCTGGAAAAGAAGCACTCAGATGGCCACACTTCCGAGCCCCAGCACCAGGAGGCAGGATTGCCATGCCCAAGATCTTGTTTTTCTTCTTCTTTCAGAAGCACTTTCTCTGGAAATGTCCAGGCCATTCCCTGCCAACACCTGCTTTCCAGCTGTACTCCTGTCACCTTCATGAGTCCAAGGCAACCTCTCCCCCTCAGAGGCACTGACTCCTGGCTTGGGCTTCTCCCCACTTATGGGTTGCTGACACCCTAGATGCTCCAGAGGTCAGGGGTGGCAAGCATTCCACCCTGCTGACTTGTTTTGTTTGGCCAGAATCATGTTTTTTGAAGGCCCCAGCAGGGGACGGACCCCATGAACCCTCCAGCCTTTTAGGGTCTAGGTTTCTTCCACATCTTGTCGTTCTGCTTTAGACCCCATTTCTGAGCCCACCCCTGCCCTGTGTCACTAGACTGTGCAGATTCTGAAACCCACTTGCTAACCACAGGTTCCCTCCTTTCCCTTCCCTTCCTTCCTCCCCCAATCCTGATCTCCTCTTCTCCACACATAAGCTTCCAGGCCCTCCAGCCCACCCTGTTTTCTCCATATTCTTCCATTGTTTTCTCTTTGTTTTCCCACCTCTGCCTCACTAGCCCCTCAGAACCCCATGTCTCCCTGTTTACAGGATTAGATAAATCTAACCATCCACCTTCAGTAGGATCATCTTAAAAATCAAAGTTGGTTAATTCTTTGCTTTCCTACTAACTTCCAGAGATCCTCCACAAGCTACAGGGCTGGTGGTTCTAAAGATAGAGACGTGCTCCTCACTTGGTTTAGATTAGAAGAACAGAAAAATTCTGGTTTTTAGTCACCGTAGCCCCTTTCATGAACCTGTGCTGCATAACAGCTTTCCCCCTTACTCATTCTTTCCTTGGTTAGCTTTAGTCTTATTTTAAAACCCCATTGTTTCTGTAGGTAGATATTTCTTTGTGTAAAGGCACAGAACAAGGCCAGCGAGGATGCAACACAAACAGATAAACAGTTGCTACCTCTGTGCAGGGCCAGAGGTGATCAAGATTGAGAGAGAGATTGGGTCAAAGGGTTTAACCTTATCTTTAAAGTTTCTACTTTTCACAAAAGAGATTGCATCCTGTACTTACTACTTGTGAGATATTAAAAACAAACAAATGAACCAGTTTAGTACCAGGAAGCCTTCCCCAGACTTCCCAGGCAGATAAAGCTGTTTCCTTTTCTGGGATCAAACAGCACCTTCCCCAAGTGTTTAGGCAATATTGTGTTTGTAATTTGTTGGAGCCTGTCTATCTACTTCTAGATGGGGAACCCCTCAAAGCTACAAACTTTATCTAATTCTTGCTCCCATGCCTAGCAGAGTGCATGACCTGGAGCAGGTGCTCAGGGAGTGCCAAACCCAGTGCATTGCCTCTGCCAGCAGGTTCCTTTGAAAGTGCTTGCTGTGGGACAGGTTTCATGCTAGTCCTGAGCTGCTTCAAGTAATTTTTACAATGTGCAAGGAAGGATGTCTCTAGGAGTCTGAAATTTAGGTAAAGGAGACCCTTGGGTTGTGTCAACACAAGGATGGGGTTGAACTGTACCCCTCCATGGCCAGGATCCAGTTCAGTCTTACTGTCTTGTCACTTGACATGCTTCTGAAGCCACCGCTCTTCAGCAGTTAATCTAAGGGCAAAGGCATCCCCAAAAGTTGAACTCGTCAAGTCCAGCCCTAATCTGTATCTCTAAGATGGAGAGGACAGCTCTAATATACAGACAGTGAGCCAGGGAGGCCAGAGTCAGGAGACACTCAGACCAGGCTTGGAGGGAGGGACAAAGCAATTGTCTGAGGGACTTGAAGAAGGCATCAGAATTTCAGTTTAATCGTGGAAATCTGTAGCTTTTGTAATTGTCCAGAGAAATCTGAGCTCCCAGGTCATAGGATCCTACTTAGGTCCTATCTACTGCTCAAAGGCAAAAGGGCAAAAGGATAGCCTTAATGGGTCAATTGGATTGGGGCTAGAGAGTGGGTGGGGGTGGCTTTTAGGGTTGGTGAAACGTGTGCCTTGTGGCCAGGGCAACCCTTTAAACTTGAATGTGCAAGTGGTGAGGAAGCTGAGGAAGGGTCTGTATCAATCTTTCTTCTGAGAAGGCTCCCAACCAGCTCCTGTATTCAACCTCGAATAGGAGAGTGTTCCTGGGGTCTTGGGGCAGTGAGGCTAGGTACTTGGGCTCCTGAAGACATAATGGCAGCGGTAGCAAGAATTCAGTGAGCAGGCCCCTACAGCTCCCCCTATTCCTCCCATTCCATCTATCTCCCTCCCAGCAATCTACCCACAACCCCACCATGGGCCTCAGAATTGCTGAAAAGGCATCAGACTATGCTACACCCCTTTAGACCTCAATGAAGAGCACCTCTAGTTGGCTCATCTCTTTGTAAGTAACTTTTATTTTTATTTACAACAGAATTGGTGGCTTTATTCCTCCATGTTTAGGGACAGTTGGCATCAGCAGCCAGATGGAAAGTCTGCAGTGAAGTCAAACTCATTCTGCCCCAGCCACAGCTCCGGAAGCTCATTGGCCCGGTCCAGTCCCAGTTCCACCACCAGTGACATCAGCACTTCCTCATCCACTGGGTCCGAATCGATGATAGCAGGGCTCTGGGCACTGGCAGAAGGAGAGAGTGACCCCGCCCCTCCCGCCTGAGCCCCAAAGCCCCAGTTTTGCAGGGGACCTGCCTCCCCGGGTTGGCCAGGAGTGGCGGCTGCCATCCCATGATACTGGCTGTTAAGTTTCTGAAGCTGCATACTGGCCAGCAGGTGAGGGGCAGGGTGCAGATTGAAGGGTGTAGGTTTAGTGGGAAGGGTGGTGGTAGGAGAGCCTATTGGAGGTGAAGATCCAGAGGAACTAGTGGGAACCCCATTGGCCTTGGTTCCATTCGAGGCTACCCCGGGGTAGTGCAGAGTGGCTACTGCTTTGCGATCTTTCACCCCCAGGTTAGAGTAGGCCAGAGAGCTCATCTCTTGGTTGGCATCCTAGAAGACGAGAAAGGCAGAGCATAATATAAGGCTCAGAAAGCTCCTAAAGGCACTTCATTTGGGGCTAGTGGTGGGGAGGTAGCAAGAAGACCCACTGCAAAGTTAAGCTCCCAACCCCAGGATCCTTTTGAGCTCAATGCTCAGAGCCAAGTCCTCGTGCTGGGCACCTGCCATCCTAAGTGGGTTTGCTGCTTTTATTTCCCTCCCTCTATCTCACCATTCTAATAAGGGCATTTCATTGTCCCTCTTCTCAGCCTCACATTAATCTTTTCAATGGTGTTGTCTTATTCTTATTCTACCTCTCTGCTTCCTGCCCTGCCATCTTCTTTCAACAACTCGAGTAGGTTTGATTTAACTACATTTAGGCAGAAGCTACCCTCTTTCTCCCCAGAGAAAGCTCTGTTGTCTCCTCTCTGCTAAAGGATACTAGGCACCACACCTAGGAGGGCCTACAACATGGCCACCCCAGATCAGCTCATCTTTTCATGTCTTAGTGTTTCTATTTGTAAAACGGAAAAAGTTACCTCCTTCACAGGTGAGGTGCCACCCTTGACATCAAGTGCAGGTCTTGACATCGTTGGCATTTCAGAGCCTTGGAAGAAGTTGGATAAATTGGTCGGAGGTGGTACTGCCAGCTGGAGCTGTTGTGCTGCATGTGACGGAGAAAAGGTAAGAAGGGCAAAGGACTCATTAGTCAAGAAAGCATTAGCAAAGCCCAAAGCAAGGCAATTTCACACGGCTACAAGGCAAGGATGGTGACAGAGTTAGACCCAAGACCAGAGACCACTTGAGCAAAGGAGAAGATCAAGCTGGAACTTTGTTTGCCTGAGGCAGGCAAGGTGCTTGGTTCAGCCAGGTGCTGCCCAGGTAGCCAGCTACCCACATCACCAAGAGGGTACACAATGATCGTTTCCTCATGCCAGTGATTTCAAAGCCCCAAGTGTGTGTGCGTGGGGGGTGGGATGGCACTGTTCCTGATTCTGAAGGCAGAAATGTCCCTAAGTAAGTAGCACACTGTTTCCATGGGCCACTGGCTTCTGGGCTAGAGATCTTGGGCCTCCACTACGACTGAGAGAAAGTGGGAAAGAGTCAGGATGAGGAAGACCTAGAAAGTTGGAGGCTGCAGCCCAGGGAAGGAATAAGTCCCCAAAGCAAATGCCATGGAGCTCCTAAGCCCTGACTCAGGTGTGGGTGTGAGAAAAGGCAACCTAATCAAGGTGGGCTGGGGGCTGTGAGGTGGCCAAAGAGCAGGGAAGAATGTTCTCAATTTCCTCCTTGCCTCAAGCCCCCACCAAGTCAAGCCTGCCAGCACAGGGTTTTCCCAGGACACCTGGTCTGAGCCCAGGCACACCCATCTGTAGTGACAGATGGGAATACTTCTTCCTGGAGGAAAACAGGCACAGAGATTCAGTGGCTTTCCTATTAAGTGCCAGTGGCTCTGGGGGCAAGATGTAGCACTCTTATGTCCGCAGGCCTCCCCTGTCCACTGAATCAGACCTAGAATGATTCAAATGGTTGCTGGAGAAATAATTCCCTAGCTCAGGCGCCAAAGGGTAAGGGAGTGAGGAAAGAAGAATTCCCTCAAATTGGAAAACAAAAAAATTCCTCACCTGAAAAACTCTGAAGTTATTTTTTTAGAAGTTTTTTTTAAGCTTTGTATATTCTAGCCTTTATGATGAATCAGAGATGTCGAATTTTGTATTTATAAATACCTTTTGCCCCAAAGAATCTTATGCACCTTAAAAAGCATCTCTAATCTTTCCAACAAAGCTAGAATTCTCCTTGTCATCTCCCTCCTCCAGTGGTCGTTAAGAATCTGCTCAGACACTTCTAGAAAGTGGCCACTTACTACCTCTCTTTACTGTCTTTGCACCACTTACTTGTAGAGGAGGGAGGCAATAAAATAGAGAAAGGAAAAAGTGGGGGAGAAAACATGAGAAAAAAATCAGTTGCTGGGTCACCACCACCACTGCTTGATTGGAACCCTGTTTCTTCTCTGAGGCAACCCAGTAATATTTCAAGCCAGTGATCACAAGACAAGGAGTCTAATCCATGCTGTCTTCCAGAGCCCAGCACCTTCAGTATCAAGCAATTTTCATATCCTAAGAAAAATGTTGAGAGGTCCTGCCCATCTTTCCTTGTTCCTATCCAGCCTTTCTTCGTGCCGCCCAAATGTACCCAAATGTACAAAAGAAACAACAGTAGCAACAACGGTAACAAAAAAAGGAGGGGGAAAATAAATAGAAAAAAAGAGAGAACCAGAAAAAGCGTCCGTTTTAGTATTGGTCCCTGGGGAAGACCCTTTTACTATATCTCCCCCTTCAGGCTCTGAGCTCCCCTAAACAGGACCTTGTTTCCATTCAAATCCGTTGCCTCCCATCGTAGCTTTCCCCCGCTCCCTACCTGCCTAAACCCAGGCCTGGGTCACTGCTCCGTAGGCGCTCAGTAAGTGTTGTTGAATCCGTCTGCAGAGGCAATCGCTTTTCGATAGGAGTCCCTGCCCCCGCCTGCCCGATTTTCTGTCTCTACTTCTCCACCCAGCCCGTTGGAAGGCAAAACTTGGCAGCTCGGAAATGGCCCAGCCTGCTTCCCAAGCCGAGAGCTGACCACTGTGAAAGGGTTGCGAGAGGCGGCTGGGCAACCCAGAGCAACAAGTGCCTCCTCACACGCTGTGCCTCGCGGGCTCCGGCTACTAGTTCCCGCCCGCCCTTCTCTTCAGACCTTCGCGTGGCCCGACAGCCCCCTTCCGCCTAGATGGGGGTGGGGGGAGGAGAAGAAAGAAGGGAGAGGCAGG